TTCCAAAGATGCTCCAGGCAATTACATCTTCTTTTGAAACATACCAGGTGATGAATACGCTGCTTTTTGTACACACTGCAAGTGTCCATTTTCAGTCAGCCAAACGTCGAACGAAAAGCCGACATATACAAAGCATTAAAATGAGCAAACACAAACCGTGTATACAGGACGGAAATAGAACCCATTTGATTTACTTCAGTGAGGCAAACGCCGGTGACAAAGAGCTGCTCAGGAGGAGGGCGTCTCTACCCACGGCCGTGTGTCACCAGTGCAGGTCAGGGATCTGATTATAGTAAACTGAATATGTTCTATTACACCAGTGGCGATTGCAGAGTCCATTGGGGCCCAAGACAAAATCAGTTGGGGGGACTTCCTACCAGTGTTCAGCAGCAATGAGAGTGAGTGCTGTCAGATGGAGCCCCTTTTGGAGGTTTGCTACTATCATTGCAAAATTTGCACATTATGGGTGGCTGCATTATGGGTTTAAATTTTGTCTGGCCTCTGGGGTAACCTGGTCTGGGGCCCAAAGCGGTTGCCTGCCTTGCCTGTTGGCAAGCAGAGCCTATGTATTACACCAATGCAATCCTTTGTGTTACATAATTAAATTTTTCAAATAAGGTTTTGGTTCCTCTTGGGAGACACCATGTTGTTGCTCCATGCTGTTCCATCCAAAAAACAGTTGTACCATGAGCTCGTACATGTAGGTTTTTGTTCAAATTACAGTGTTCTATTTGGAGGTCTGAAAATATGGTCACCCTGCCTTTAGGGTTAAATGAAAAACTGTTTCTTGCAGCAGGAAATTGTCTCTTCATAGCTCTGATTAAAGCATGTGGACTTCCACCACAGGTTTATTAACCTTTGTGGTCAGGATTAGACTTCATCGCTCCATCTCATGATGGCCTTTCCCTCTGTGCGCCTGGCTCATGCTTTGTCCATTCTTCATATCCGTTTGTGTCCGACACAAAAGGTGGATAACACCCGTCAGTACACGTGAAAATAAGATGGGTTTAACCTTCGAGACATCTGTCATCACACTTCTATCACTGAACATTTATGATGTTAAGGTTATATTCTCGAAAGAAAGAAAACGAAGCTTCCTGTGAATGGATTGTTCTTCACGGCAGACGGCGCTCTCAACTGCGTTGGGGACGTTTAAAGAAGGATAGACTGTCGCTCTCGGCAGAGGCGGTTGTTTGTGAAAAATGAAAGCCCATTTGAAGACGTGACACAAGATGCCGCCGCTCCCTCGCAATGCCATCAGAGTGTTTTTCAATCTCGACCAGATGGCGGGGGCACTGATGTCATTGTCAGGCGTTAAGCTCGGGGAGGCAGTCAGAAGGAAAGGAAAGCTGTCTGGCTTTCTGAAGCATGATGTGGCAAAAAATATAAAAGAGTTTTTGAGTAAAATGCTTTGTACTTTGTGCAGAAACTCTCATCCCTTTACCTCTTTGTCCGCCCTCAGATCCCCTCTCATAATGGGATGTGTGGGTGACGGGAGAGAACCTGCCTCTCTCTGTTCGTCCGTTTAAACAGGCGCCGCTTTCCTCCCAACCGATCCCTGTGAGGCTGCAGCCCAGTCCTTCCAATTAAGAATGGACTTTTTTCTTGGGTTGGAACCATTAAGGCAGACGTAGAGTGGAACAGATTAAAACTGATGAGAGTGTTGTGGTCATTTGTCACAGATGGTGGGGGAGAGACAGTGAAACCAGCTCCATATTAGCTGGGTGATGGGGCAGCAGTAGCTCAGTCTGTAGGGACTTGGTTGGGAACCGGAGGGTCACCGGTTCAAGTCCCGGTGCAGACCATGTTTGGAAGTTGGTCTGGTAGCCGAGTGCCCTTGAGCAAGGCACCAAACTCCTCCCCACCATCAGCTCAGGAGCGCCGCAGTGAGCAGCTCCGTCACTCTGACATCTTTCCATTAGTGCATGTCATATGATCCTGTTTGTGTGCATGTATGTATATACTTCAGCCTATGTGTGTTGCATGAGTACGGAGTGTAAAAACTGAAATTTTCCCTCACGGGGATCAATAAAGTAAATCTATCTATCTATATTAGCCCGGATATTAGCTAATATCAGAGTGGACACTTTAACTTCCCAAGCTCAATTAACGTGCTCTTCAACATAAGTCAAGACTCCTTTCGAATATGTCTTTGTCTGAGCTTTAGCAGACAGCTGCAGAGGAAAGTATGAAGCTAGTACTGGATTCTTATTCTTTATATTATTCTGGTTGTACACAGGAACAGTTTTGATTTTGAGACAGTGTGAGTATACACCAACTTATTGACTGTGGCAAGTATTTTAAAGGTCACATGTTGTCCTGTAGTTCTCCAAATCGGTCTTGATCTCGAGACCACTTTTTGTAGGTCTTGGCCTCGTTTCAGAATTGAAAGCATTTTTATTCTCCCTTGTCTCGTTCTCAGTCTGGGGGGATTCCAGATTTTATATCAAGACCACCACTGATCGGCTAGCTTTCCATAGCTTATCATAGTAAAACGCCTCTTTCTAAAAGAACATATTACTTTAAATCATTTGTAGTTTGATTTTTCCTCCTGGTTACGGCCGCAACCTTCCAGGTGTTACAGTCTTTGTCAGTGACACGCCCCCTGCACTCAAGATGCTGATCTTTCCCTGATATTTATGGTCTTGGTCTTGTTTCATCTCTCCCTGCCTTGGTCCTGGTCTTGACTCCATCTTGATCCCTTAATGTCTCGGTCTTGCTTGGTCTCGGTTAAAGTGGTCTTGACTACAACACATGCAGCTTAATGAGAACTAAAGCATTGTTATGTCTGCGTTGTTCACCTTTCCATTTGGTGTTTACAGTGTTAAGAATAATTTGCCCTTACTGTGTGTGGAAACGGCTTTTAGTTGCTCGGCTCAGAGTGATTAGAAGAGGTTCAGTGGATGCTGATAAAATATATTCAGCTAATTAGGCATCTCTCAGAACACCAGAAGTATGTAGCAGCGGTATGGACTGAAAGATATTGTTGACTCACGTTCGAAAGTTAAAAAAAATGTATCACTATTGATGTAACAAAAAAAGAGGTAGTGTGTTTTTTGCAGCATTGTGGATAAAATGTGGCACCACATTATCCACAATGTGGCATGACCGCTGACAGTTTGGTCTGAGATGGAGGTAGAAGAACTGTAGCCTTAAAACTGCTTGGCTGAACCGGGCCGGCCATCGGGGGGGGGGGGGTCTGGGCTTGTCAGCGCTGTCCGAGAGAGTCGGTGTGTTTGGACGTTGTGGAAGAAACGCAACAAACGTCAAGTCAAGAGGGTACGCACCGAGGTCTCCTATTACGACAGTATTACCTCAGACATTTTTTTCATGTCGAGGCAATATCAAACGCAAAACGCTGCCAATTGTATGTCCTCCAGTAGTGTTGTAGTCAAGACCATACTAACCGAGACCAGAGTGCATGGAGACCAAAACAATAAATATCACTGAAATCCTTAAGTCTATCAAACATCACCTCCTCCCTCAATGCCCTCACTCTTAAGATTGTCTAGTGTTCATAGGAACATAAAGTGAAAAGCTAAAAGGTTGTGTTCAAGACGTTCTAAAGCTCTTATTAGTCCTGCTTAGTTCTTTAAAAAGGAAGAAAAGATTCAGCGTGAATGCATCCTGTCCGCTCTTTACACCCCTCACATAAGAAGTAATGTTAGTTTTGATAGTTTGCACACCTACCTGCACTTGAATACAGGACCTTGAGGTTTGAAACGGCTTGTCTGCTTTAATGATGGTTATGTAAATGTTGCAGGTGCTGGATGATCCTGCAGAGGACAACCTCCACATGGGTATGCACATCTTTCACTCTGTTGTCGCCCCCTGTGACACACATGACAGGGATGAGTGTCCATATGGCTTCTTCATAATTCAGACCATCTCTTGAATAATCACTTCAGGGCTCAGACATTATGCAGAGATGTTCCATCAGCGATGCCAGGTCACATACTGCAGACGCCTGTTAGTGTGAAATGTCAGTCTTTATGTGCTTAATGTGACGCTTGAAGCTAATTGAATGATCGTTTAAAGGAATAATGTGATGCTAGCAGTGGGTCAGATCCCGCTGCATGAATAGATGTATAACATGCTCGGTCATATGTTTCCTTTTCTCCCTCTTCTTTCTTCTTTCTGACAGTTTTTGAGCTGATGCGTAAAGGGTGAGTAGAGAACATTCTCTTTTTTAAATAATTAAAAAGCTCACCCCCTCCTGTTCCTCTAACTTCACCTCCGCATTTCATCCACCTCTCCCTTTTCACCCTCCTCTCCTCCTTCCTAATCCTCCTCTCCTTTGTCATCCTCCTTTCCCTTTTCATCCTCCTCTCCTCCTTCCTCATCCTCCTCTCCTTCTCCTTCATCCTCCTCTCCTTCTTCACCCTCTTCTCCTTCCTCATCCCCATCTCCTCCTTGATCATCCTCCTCTCCTCCTTCTTCATCCTTCTCTCCTCCTCTCCTTCTCCTTCATCCCCCTCTCCTTCTTCACCCTCCTCTCCTTCCTCATCCTCCTCCTCCTTCATTCTCCTCTCCTTCCTCATCCTCCTCTTCTCTTCTTCTTCATCCTCCTCCCCCCTCTCTCCTCTCCTTCTTCATCCTCCTCTCCTCTCCTTCTTCATCCTCCTCTCCTCCTCTCCTTCTCCTTCATCCCCCTCTCCTTCTCTCCTTCTCCTTCATCCCCCTCTCCTTCCTCATCCTCCTCTCCTCCTTCATTCTCCTCTCCTTCCTCATCCTCCTCTCCTCTCCTTCATCCTCCTCCCCCCTCTCTCCTCTCCTTCTTCATCCTCCTCTCCTCCTTCTTCATCCTTCTCTCCTCCTCTCCTTCTCCTTCATCCCCCTCTCCTTCTTCACCCTCCTCGCCTTCCTCATCCTCCTCTCCTCCTTCATTCTCCTCTCCTTCCTCATCCTCCTCTCCTCTCCTTCTTCATCCTCCTCTCCCTCCTTCATTCTCCTCTCCTTCCTCATCCTCTCCTTCCTCCGCATCTCCTCCATCCGCACCATTCTGTCTTTCTTCATCCTCCTCTCCTCTCCTTCATCCTCCTCTCCTCCTTTCTCCTCTCCTCCTCTCCTTCATCACTCCGAGCTGACACCATGCTGCTGTTTATTTCATCACAGGCTTCAAAGGAGTTCATAATGTTCTCAGGTTTCCATTGCTGTCGGCGGTGGCAGTCGGCCGTGTAAATGTTTCACGTCTTGATGCACGAGCTGTTCCTTCCTACACCGCTCAAAAATCTGCGATGATCTAATGATCGGGGACCTTTAGTTATTATTATTATAGGAGTCTGGAGGAGGGAGGGGGCAGCTGGTATCATTACACAAATGTGCTTTAATAAGTCATGTTCTCCTTTTTAATAAGAAGGTTGGCTCTATTTGTACGCTTTTTTTAAAGAATGAGAGGGAACTTTTGCTCTCTTGTTGCCCCTGAGAGAGAGATGATAGACACTGATTAATACAGAGCAGCTGCCTGATTTGGATTCTTCTCACTCATCATAAAACTCCACAGCTGCTTACTGATTCTACTTGCCTCAGGACAGGTTCTACTAGTGGTGCACGATCTGAGATTCATAATCAATCAATCATGACGGGACAATATGCAGGGAGTCTACACTTCCTTGCCGCTGAGGTGGAGGTCAGAGCAGGCCGTGCATGAATGAGGATGGCGGTGGTTGTGGGGGCGACACAGTCTGATGGTGGGGGCTGGGTGCAGTGCCCCATCACTTCGCTGAAGGTTGGGGGAGCTCCGTCTATACTCGAGAGCCTGGCTTCTGCTGCCGGGACGAGGCCTCCTGAGCTTCTAACACACTGACACAGTATTTTTTTTTATGCTTTTCATGGTAACGTTAGGATACTGCAGTATTACAGCAGTACAGGTTAAAAACAAGGAGAAAAGGACTAACCCAAAAAGTGAGTAAAGTAAGACATAATGCCTAATGCTACATGACATTGTGCTGTCATGGTTACAGAGAAGTCGCAAAGTGCTGTCCCGTTGGTATTAAACCACAGCAGCCTCGTGCACAAAATCACTTTCCAGGTGACGTCGATTAAGTCTGTAAGGGCTCAGGGTTTGGGGAGGAAATCGAGATTTAGCCCAACACACTGATGATCACTGAGACTATATCTCAATCTTTGAATGAGAGTCCTGACTGACTTACAGGTCTTTTGAAATACCGTGCCTTGGACTATAAAGACACCAAACTGGCTCTGGTACAGATGGGTTTGAGGTCTACACGGGAAAGACAAAGTCTCAGTCACATATTTTGATCAGGATGTTACAGTCTGTTTACATACGTTTCTGCATTTGGAATACACATTTTTGTGCTAATAAAACAACTGATCCATGTAATCTGAAGATTTGTCCACCCCACACTCTCTCTCTCTCTCTCTTTGTGTTTGTCTCTCTGTTTCTGCCTCACTGACCTGCCTGCATGGGTTTCCAGCCCGGTGATGGAAGTGCCCACAGACAGTCCTCTGTCGGAGGAGCAGGCCAGGTTGTACTTCAGAGACGTCATCCTTGGCATAGAGTACTGTGAGTATCTCATGCGGAACGAGGCCTGTCTCTGAGGCTGTGAAACATACCTGTGAAGTGTTTCACTGAAATGTTGTGCTCCACCCATTCCCCCGAGGATAGCGCTACATACAGTTATTACATTGATCTGTTTCTAAAGTTATCATGTCCCCTCTGATGCTCAAAGTGTAGAAGTCTTCTAACATCATGCTCTCCCCCTGCTCTTTAAAGCGATGATTGTGTTTCCTTTTTTTTTTTAAAAGAACAAAGTGTTCTTGACCGTCTTTTTTTCCGCCCTCGAGGTCTGGCTGCAGACGCGTGTCGTCCCCTTCATCAGTATCGAGCCTCCCTACGCTGAAATGGTTTCCTCGAGCCGTGTCCTCATTTACTGCACCAGATCCATTTCACTGAGCTATGAGCCTAATGATTAGAGATCAATGCTGCCTCTCTGAGCTCCGTCTTCCAGATAATACCGCAGAGACTCACAGGATGGGTTAGGGTGCACAAGCTGACACGTTTAGCTCAACAGTTGTGTTTATTACACCGTTCAACAAAATAAAATTTTAAAGCAGTTTACTGTGGAGTATCAGCTATATTTTCTGCTACTTTAATTATGGATGACCCATTTGAAAAATAAATCCTGTAGACTTCCTCATGTGTTTTCATATGAGGTATAGAGACACAGAATTGTGCTTAAATGAAAAACTATCAGACTTCAAAGGGTTAAATTGATTCTTCCTTCTCCTCAAAGACAATAATAATAATAATAACTTTATTTATATAGCACCTTTTAAAAACACAGGTTTACAAAGTGCTTTGACAAACAGCAATCAAACGCTGTTTCCAACAACACTGCTTCGATTATTTCACACGTTATTGGTATTCCGCTGTGATAAATTGGGTGCTGTTGCTGTGGTCGAAGGAAATGTGTCATGTAGATGTCGATCAAGATTGACCGTAGTCAGTCGAAGCCTCAGATTGCTTTTTGCACATAAAATTGACCAAGAGGGGTAAAGAGGTAAAAGCAGCATACAGTTACCAGGATGCATTGCACCATTGAGGGGGGTCCCTGCTGCAGAGGCTAATGCTTTAAAGTGATCCTCAGCATAACAAAGTTTGGGAACTCCTGATCTATACAACTGATGACCAGAATGACGCTACATATATAAAAATGCAGAATGGTTTAAGTTGTTTATCAAAGAGTGTTGTCTACTATAATTCAGTGGCCATTGGCTGCGTGCAGGTGTTACATCCTCCCTCCGGTCACAGTTAAACACAATGGCTCAAGAAAAAGGAGGACCAGAAAACACATGGGGCACCGCAGGTTTTTTTAAGGTATGAACCCTGAGATTTATTTTTAAGGAAAATTCCACCCCTGGCCAAAAAGAACAACAGATGGGAAGGCGCCGAGCCAAACTCGTTTTAGGTCATCGCTCCCCCTAAAACAACCGGAGAAGAAAAAAATCACCTGGAGAAACAAAAAGACAGAAAATAGGTCCAGCTGTGATCTCTAGCCCAAACTAAAATAAGAAAACCCAACAATATGGACATGAAAAACAGAAACCGAGATAGGGAAAAGTAAAAATGGGGAACAAAATCTTCTCACCACGTCGCTGCCCAAGGTGTTAAGTTTTACTTTGTGTATCCCTCTGCCTCAGGAGTTCTGAACATATTTAATTATCACCACAGTAACAGATTATGGCGGGCGATTGTTTATTCCTCTGTCTTGTCCTCAGTGCACTACCAGAAGATCGTCCACAGGGACATCAAACCTTCGAACTTGTTACTGGGGGACGATGGTCATGTGAAAATAGCAGACTTCGGGGTCAGCAACCAGTTTGAGGGCAACGATGCGCTGCTGTCCGGCACTGCTGGCACTCCTGCCTTTATGGCACCAGAGACGCTGTCAGACACACGGAAGAGCTTCAGTGGGAAGGTAAGTGAACTCTTTATTTATATTGAAAAATGTAAAAGCTAAGCTTCATCTCTGCCTCTGGTTAAAGCAGCTGATGTAAGCCTTAATCCCATGAGTTTAAAGATCCAATCAGTGAGATGTGTAGTGAGTGAAATGATAAAGTGACCTTACTATATGATCAGACATTAAGGAAACATGCTATGTTGAAGTGCTGGCTTCTCTGACAACAATGCAGCAGCCAGTATGTCCTCCTTCTAACTTTAGATTCTGGTCCTGAATGCTCTGGACAACCGTTTTGGTCGCTCCTCGATTTGCCAGATATGAGAGCAGTTATCAGGTCAACAGGTGTTGCAGCGATAGAAGCGGGCAAGAGAAGTGGTTCAGATAGAAGTGATTGTACCCGACCTAAAAAGCCTCTGCATGTTTCTAATAAGCTCCACGAGCAGAAACGTGCTCAAACTAGGATCAATATTGGAGATGCTTTTGAAAAATGGAGAGAGGTTAGAACACAGAAAGGTTTACAGACCGATGCAGAGCTGGATAAACACTGAAGCTTCAGTGTTCACCACATGGCAACCTGTGTGAGCATCGACTCTAGAGAGGAGGGGGCGGGGGGAGACAGCTCTCTGCAATGTTTAGAATTTAGACTGCAGTACCCATTTTAAACACTAGGTGTCAGAGTTACATACTGCTCCTTTAACTGAGAACCATTAGAAACAAAGATGAGTTTGATTATCGGTCTTTGTTTTTGTGTGTGAGCTGGTTCTTATTATTTATTAATCCAGCTGAGAACAGCACCTTCACTAAAGTCAGATAATGGTCTTTTAGTTTTAAAAAGCTGATATTGATTTTGTGAACGTTTCCATCATCATTAAGCTCTTCTTGGTTGTACAGTTAAATAATGATCAGTCATGTTTGTCGAGCAGAACGCCACTCCTCATAACGATCGGACTGGCGACCTCCTCCCTCCACATTTGACGTACTTCCTCCGTTATTCTTGCATAATTAAACATCTTTTGAGGCGTGTGAATCAGCTCTGACTAATAATTGATTTTCAAACAACAAACAACCAAAGGTGTTCCTGTTTGAGCCCTCAGTCTTAACCCTGACATCGTCTCTAATATCACATATTATTGGTGGGTTGTGTAACTGTTCCTCCATTGGTTTTCAACGATTGGATTAGTCAACATAAAGACATTGTGTGACTTCAAAAAGGAGAGTCAGAGAGTGTTATTGTATTGCATACAGAGAGGATGTGAGAGGCATTCAAGTGCCCCATCCTGCTGTTTCCTTGAGCTTTCAAAAGACACATGCAGTCATTATATCAGCTGCTTTTTCTCTCATTAGTCTGCTTCATCCTGTTCAATCCCTGAAGAGTTATTTATTCATCAACATGTGTGATGAGGGTGGAAATCAGTAGCGGAGTGGGAAGAGAATAAGAACAAAAAGTTTGTTTATGTACTTAAATAAGTGTGCACTCTGTTTCAAACATGCACTCTTTGCTTAGTGTTGAATATGGCAGTCGATTTACCAGATAGTCGATCGTAGTGATACTCAACCTGAGGCTCTTGAGCCACATGTGGCTCATTTGGGACTAGTTGTGGCTTTTTTAGGTCCTACTTAGAAAAACAAAAATCCAAAGTAATTATTTAGAAAAGGGAAACACTGTCAGCAAAAATTATTCTTTGCAAGTCATGTCACTGTGTTTCCCACACATATTTTAGGAAAGAAAGAGGTTTTTTGATTGTGGCTCTTGCAGAAATATTTTTTGGTCAATGTGGCTCTTAAGTCCAACAAGGCTGAGTACCACTGATCTAGCGGTTCTGTTGCACACTTCCTCCTTATGCAAAATAATTAAGTCAAGGCTCAAAACATAGAGACCGAAATGCATACTAGGACACGACACAGATTTAGATTCCCGCCCAAAGTAATCAAGAATAAATAAGAAACCAAAGAAACAGAAAGGGGGCTGGAGACCCCTTCCAAAAAGAACACAAGATGCGAAGGTGCCCAGCCAACCATGTAATGGGCCGTCACTCTTGGCATCTCCACAAAAGAAAAAGATTAACCTGAAGAAACGAAAAGACTGAAAATAGGACTACAGGTGATCTCCAGCTCAAACTTAAACAACAAAAACCAGCAATCTAAACCTGCCTGAGGAAAAACAGAAACCGAGATAGGGAAAAATAAAAATGGGGAATAAAAGCTCCTCTCCACCAGGGGCGCCGGTAACGTAGTGGTTAGTGCGTGCAACCCATGTACAGACCTCTGGCTCCTTTCCTGCATGTCATTCCCCGCTCTTTAGCTCTCCCCGATTTCCGTCTCTATCGTCTGTCCGATCTCAAAAAATAGAAAAACCCAAAAGCTCCTCATAGCATCGCTGCCCAGAGTGTGTGTGCCCCTGTCTCTCCTACCTGGATCCTCTGAATCCCCCTCCTTCTCTCTGAGCACAGTGTGCACTCAGGTGTGCAGCAGGTAGAGGGAGAGGTGGCCGTGCATTAAAAAAAACAGCAACAGGAAGTAAAACAATCCCAGTTTAGCTCATCCTACCGGTGAAGCAATGTGGAAGTAAATGATCTTCAGTATGTTTTGTATTTGAAAAGAGAAAATTATCCAAGCATGATCACCAGCTTCCTCCGCACAGAAACGCTCGGTAAAAAGGATTTCAGTCGCACTCTTTCAGGTCTACTTCAGGAAACGTGTTGAGTTGGTGTAATTTTGTAAAGAGTGTTTTTTACTTTGTCCACATCTGATCAGTACTGAAATATTTAATGTCAGGCACTCGTATGTCACTTAAACCCCCTCAGTGCTCAGCCTCAGTGGTACCTCAGGCCATTAGTACTCGTTAGTCATCCAGCATCGTGCTGAAAACAAACGTGTGTGGCTCTGAGATGGCTTTCGGAGGTTCAGAGGGCAGCTTCTATCATTTCATATCTATCAGGGAGTAGAAATGGATTTCTAGGAGAGTCGGGCTGAGAGGAGACAAAAGAGCCTGATGGATAGCTGCAGTGTCTCCACTATCTGATCACACACATCCATCTGCGAGGTATTAGCCGGTACGCATCCCCAGAATAAGAACCTTGTATGTGCCATAAATCACCCTAAGGCAGTCGGCACCGATTAAGGTCACAGTGTTTGTTTGTGTAAAGTAGGTGTTTGGATCACAGCAGTGTGTTTTTTCAAATGTTCGTTTGGCTTCATGTCACCTTTAATGTCCCTTATTTAAAGGCACTGGACGTGTGGGCCATGGGAGTTACTCTCTACTGCTTCGTCTTTGGGAAGGTGAGTCAGCACATCCTCTCAGTCTTTTTTTTTTTCAGCTGCAGGTTCACTGCAGGTAACACGGACGGCTGAAAGGAAAGTGTTCATTTCAAAGACAGCCGTGCTTGTTAACAAGCACACAGTGACATTCAGGTAGGAACATAGTCGATCACCAACCTTCTTTTCTTTGTTACAGCCAGTGTGAGGGAAGCAAAGGAAAAGATTAGCATGCTGCCAGTTTGTAGTTAGACTACAGAAATACCTCACAAAGGAGAGAAACCTGGTTTGGTCCTCCTTTGGTCCTCCTCTTCAACCAGTGTAAATAAGTCTCAGAGCTCCTCAAAACATGTGTGTGAAGTTACTTGTTCTAAATCCACTCTGATCCTGTATTTGATCATGTCTATAAACCCCTCTATTTCAGCCCTGCTCAGAACAGACTGTTTCTGTGTCTGTACCTTTAAATGTAAATGTGCTGTATCTGACCACGCCCCCTCTCTGGAAGGACTCGTGTGGTTCGGGCTATCTCACTCCATGTCCTATTGTTTATGGTGAGAAGGCAGACTCAGCGGGCAGAACAAACACCTAGCTGTGGGAGTGTCACCCACCTGGGGGAGGGGTTACTGCCCTTTGTGATGTCATGAAGAGAGACATTTTTTTTGAAAAGTGGAGCAGGCAATAGACGGAGAGGATGGACTTTTCTCATCATTGGGGGGGGGGGGGGTGTAGACAGACACATATTAGAGATAGAAAAACATGGTGAAGAGGATTTTGTATAAAATGTGACCTTTTAAAAGATGGTCAGACTGGGGGCGCTTGTTTAGATCAGAAGCCCTACATAAGGCATGTGGTAAAAGGCAAAAATGACCCAAAAAATAAAGTAAGATGTGCTTGTGGAATGCTGAATTCTCCTGTTCTTATTCTTATTTGGCTGTCTCCAGGAAAACAGAATTTGTGAACACTACAATTCACTGTTCTCTCTCTCTGTTTTTCCTCTGCTCCTCCTGCAGTGCCCGTTTATTGATGAGTACATACTGGCTTTGCACAATAAGATAAGGACCAAGCTTGTGGATTTCCCAGAAACGTAAGTCTGACTCCTGCGTCCTCCCTCCTCCTCCTCCCTCCACATCCTCCTCCTACACTCTATTAAACGAGACAGCAGTGATGCTCCAGGCTCATACTTTTCCTTAGCAGCTGTCATCATTACCTCGATATTTAATTTCTATTCATCTCTGTTTTTGTCTCAAAATCGTTTTCTTCTTTTTGCAGTTGCCATTTGCAACTGCAGATATAAATGAGTAGCTTTGTGTGCTGCAGCTTTTAGGAGCACTCAGTAGATGTAGATGACAAAAACGGCTCCTCCTTACCTTCACACTCTCATCCAGGTCTACACTCTCTCTCGCCCTCTACGCTCTGCAAATGAAAGGCGTCTGATCCAACCTTCACAACAGGGTCCCAAGTCTCTAACTAGACTCTTCTCCTCTGTCGCCCCCTGCTGGTGGAATAAACCACCAAACTCCTTTGGTTCTACAGAGTCTCTTTGCGCCTTTAAGAAAAAGCTAAAGACCTTAATGATGATAATGACGACGGCGATATTTAGGATGGTTTTGATGCTGATTAAAACTCTCAAGAACAGCTGTCGATGTTGTTGTTGATGATGTATATTAAAAATGTGCACTTCCTGTCAGCACCTATGTGTCCGCTCGGACTTAAAGCTGTTTGTTTGCACTTCCTGACATTGTTTCCTCCTCTCTAGATCTTTGCTTGTGTTGTTCTAACTCTCTGATGTTCGTTGCTTTAGATAAAAGCATCTGATAAATGAATTGTAGAGTTCTATATGTCGCCTTTAAGGGATCAAAATAAGTATCAAAACAGAAAACGAGTGCACCAGTTGCCTGGACACATGCAAGCCCTTTCTAAAGAGAAACATGAAGGTCTTTTATTTTGGTAAATAACAGGAAACTACAGTGATAGAACGATCAGCCATCAAAGGGTAGCAGTGGGGATAGCCTGCAGGAACACACCGGTGGTGGAGTGTAAATACACACGTGTGCAGGAGATATTATTGTGAGTGTGTCGGAGTCAGGACTGGGTGTTTAAAATGATAAGTGTCTTCACACAGTGGTGTGGAGAGGGTCCGTGTCTGTGCACAGAGCACGTTCATTAAACGCAGCAGAATATCACAGCAGGTAATGGAATCATCTCCACGCTGAACCCATCAGTGACAGTTAGCTCAGAGAAACGAATGCTTAAAAATCTCAACACATTGTTGTGTTTCCATGATGCATGAGTGTATCACAACTTGATTTAAACTCACAGGCTTCAGATCTACAGATGTGCAGCTCCAAAATAAAAGGAGCAAGAATAATGGTAATCCAGTTAATTCTCTGCACTGCGCTGCTTATCTCATTGCTCTCTCCGTTTGGTTGTCTCTCTCTCTCTTCATCCATGTTTACCCTTTTTAATCTAATGCAGTGAACTCTTTTCAGTGTTTATTCATTACTTTGAGCATGGTTGAAAATGTTCACTGCTTTAAGTGTAACATTCAAACCATTGATGTTTTCCTTTTAGCTGATCTGTACAACTTCCCTGCACGCTTGCTCATTAATTTCAATGCACTCTCAAGCACAACGAGTACTGTCGAGGTCTTACAACTCCCTTAATATGAGGATACATGAGGGGCATACAGTGGCTGAGTGGTTAGGGCGCGGGCCCAGTGTCCACATGCTGTAGTCCTCGAAGCAGGCAGCCCGGGTTCAAATCTGACCTGTGGCTGACATGTCTTTCCCCACTCTCTCTCTCTCTCTATCTCTCTCTCTCCCTGATTTCAGACTACACCCACTGGTTTATCTCTACAGTAAATGCATAAAAAACCTCAAATAAATATGAGTATACATTTGATTTAAACTGTCATTTTGAATTAGAAATAGTTGAAGTACCCTTTTAGTGCACAAGAAGCCCTGTTTAGAAAATCTGCTCGAAGTTGCACCTCATGTCATTCATTCTCTTTATTGACATCTGCATCAAGAAGAACATAGACACCTAAATAATCTGTGTCATCATCGTGTCTGTCATCCGTCCCCCCACTCAGTAGAGCAAACACTCTGCGTGTATTCTGGGTGATAGTAAGTGACAGGCGTTCTCTCAGAGGTGAGAAAAGAAGATCTTCTGTTAATTCTATCTGACAGCACAAACAATCCATAATGGATAACTGCAGAGGGGGAGATAATGAATTATTCCGCTGTCCTTTTCTTCTTCTGTGGCCGTCAAAGTCATCGAAATGAAAGAATCTGAGAATGTCGTTTTTTTT